CTGCTGCCATTGCAGCCCATCCCCGCTCGGCCCGCAGCCTCCAGGGAGGACTGGAGGGGCGGGATGCAGGACTGCCCCAGCCCGGCCTGGATGACCCCCTGCGGGCCTCAATCAGAGAGCTTTGATCACCAGGGACCACATATCACGGTGTGGTTAAAGCAAAGGGACTACAAGAAAAACCCTTTTCTGTTCTCCAAATTAAGTAAGTGAAGATATAAAATATGATTCAATAAAGGATGTGGCCCCTCTGAAGAACTTTTGTCTCCACGGCTCACCTCATATGCAGATGATACATTTTTTTATTTGAAAAATTATCACGTAAAAGAGTGCCATTAATCTCCCTCAAAATACTTTCCCTCACTTTCAACACACTTATCCCAACGTCCTTGCCGTTCTGAAGGAGTTCTGAAGTCTTCTTTCCCAGTGTCTTTAGTTGCACTCTGGTAGATGCCTCAGTGTCCTGAATGGTTTCAAAAGGTTCCTCTTTCATGGTCATTTTGACTTTGAGGAAGAGCCAGAAGTCATAAGGGAACAGATTAGGTGCATAAGGTAGGAAAAGACACCACACAATGTTCTTACAAGACTGCCTTTCCCTTGGATGGTACTTGGCACAGCATTCACTTTTTTTTTTTTTTTTAATCAGACTTTATAAAGAAACTCAAGAAAGAGAACTTCTAGAAATGCTTCAGAAAGTAGCAAGAAAGATAGGATAAGTGTGTTCCAAGGGAAGGGATTATTTCAGGGGGGGCATTATTGGCAGTGTCTTTTACTGTAATATTTTGTTAAGCATTCATCATACATTTTGATCACCCCTTGTATCTACATACGTACTGTTTTTACTTCTAAGAAGTCATAATTTTAAAGTATATCACAGCACTCTACTGCAATATTTACACAGTGGTCGCTGGTCTGTGTCAACCCTACACTAACCCGCTATGGCGGGAGGAGAAATGACCTTCATCTCTGAGTAATCCTTTTGAGATAGAAAGACAATAGACATCTGGAACTCAGGCAAATACTCTAAGAAAATAAAAGAATCAAATTGTGTTTTTAAAATTATATGCATGTTTTATAATTTTGCATTTTAATATGTTCCATCCATGCTTTTATATATATCTGGGTATGTGCAATGAGAGTTTTAGATACATGCAATATGTTTATGAATACCACTTTGATGAGCTTTATAGACTTATGTTAGTATATTGATTAGATAGTAACATTGATAAATTATATACATATATAATATATATTTCTCTTTGGCGGGGTGTTTGAGACAGGGCCTCACTATGTAGTTGATGCTGACCTGGAACTCACTAGGTAGCCCAGGCTGGTCTCAAACTCACAGTGATCCTCCTGCCTCAGCCTCCCAAATGCTGGGATTACGGGCATGTGCCACCATATATAATATATATTTCTATATATGAGGCCAAGTACATGTGGGGCAGATTGTAGCACCCAAGATGGAGGCTAAGTCTTCCACTCCCTAGTCGAGTGGTCTTTCAATTGTATCATTTCCTTTCTAACTGTACTTAATTTCAAGTTTTGCTTAACAGAAAATTCCCATCATGGATAAATTAGTCATAAATTCCCAGAAGAATTGTATTTTGGAGGCCAATTTAAACTGTGGCTTAGGTAGAGCCACAAGAATAGGAGTGCATCCTGCGACTTGAGCGTGACACCAAGCAAAGGGCTTTGCTCACGGAAGAGCCCTCAGAATTCTCCAAGTACCAGAAGACAGAGACGGATGGTTTTAAGAAGGTAAACAACTGGTTCTTTTACATCTCAAGTTTTTTAACCAGTTTGCAGAACAGGCCGAATAAGTAGAATGGAAAAGTAAAGGAAAAGGAACAAAGAAGTTGAGTATCCAAGTGCTACTTAAAGATCTATATCAGTTCCTCAGAATGCTGGAAATAAGGATTGCTTCGGCAATGTCATCCAGCAAATAAGAAGCATCCGCTATAAACCCTAAGCCAGAGCAGCAGTGAAGACATCTGATAATTCCACAAGGAAGTGGTCCCGGTGTGCATCTGGTTTCTCAAAAGCAAGCTGCTTATCTGGGCTGCAGAAACTTCTTGTGCCATGGCCACACAGGAGGAAAAGTTTTGCCAAGAGTTTCCCTTTAAGCTTGAACCATGTTTCTTCTGTTTAATACAGTTAGTGATTTTAAACCTTCTAAAAATGAAAACATTGGTAGAACCACTGATTAGGGCTCTTTTGGAAAGCACCAACTATTAACTGGAATTGTTGATAATATAAGTTCTGTGCCCTAAGACAACAGTTAACTTCCTGTAGATTTGAGTACTGTGCTTTCAAGGACTTTCACCAAGCTCTGTTTGTTTGCCTGTCTGGTTGGTTGGTTGGTTGGTTGGCTGTCAGTGATGGGGATAGAATGGAGGACTTCAGGCAGACCAGGCATGTATTCTACTACTGAGCCACACTCCCACCCCTTACCAAGTTTTGAAATATGAAAAGAATCATACTTTTTTTGTAGCCCAATTCTTTCCGAGAAAGAATAACTCATATGTTATTAGATGAAAAAAAACATAGAAATATTTAATGTGAGGAATACTTTGCTAATAATGCTGTCCCCTGCATGTATGTCTCTTCCTTGTGGGTAAGTGTGCCTCATTTTAAGGCCACTCAAGCATTGTTTGGGACCACATACACCCACTCTTAAATTAACTATTCAGAGTCATTCAAACCATGTAGTTTAACATAATTAAAACGATAAAGGTGTCAAAATGAGCTTCAGACTCAAGGCCAGCTTTCCAAGAAATTTTGTTTTTACATGGATGTGTTAGTGTGTATAAGGGCTCCCTGTAACACACCAGCTGAATAAATGGAAATGGTATTTAGCACTCAGTTCTGTGAACTTATTCTAGCAGTGGTTCTTTTTTTTGAAGAAGAAGAAGAAGAAAAACTTAATAGACAGAAGCTTCAGATTCTAAACAAAAAATTTTACCTCAACTGTCATTAATTGCTCAAATTCTTACTTTGGGGTGACATTCACAAAAAACACAGCACATTGCTTCAATCTTCCAGCCTCCATCCTTTACCAGTTTTCAAAAAGCAGAGTGAGAAGGGTACATTCAGTCTTACAGTATATCATGGGCCACAGAGATTCTAAACCCATAAAAGTTTGCTAGAAAAATTCTCTACATTATATTTCACAAATTCATCTAATTAAGTAACTTGATTTGGGAAAAATACACTGTACAAGGCATAATCCAACCCAATGGAATATTCTACTGTAATGATTTAGGAATTTGCTAAATCAGAAACTCATTAATGGCTTACACTATTATTCAGGAAAACCTCATTTTCTGTTACATGACCAATATTGGTGGAAAACATGAAAAAACTTATAAACATTTATATTCTCTTCCAAAGTCAGCCTTTAGTACACTTCGGGAAAAGAGAGCAAGACAAGTACTTCAGGGAATCCCAGGGAGTGATAAACTCAGAAGCCCTCCAATGCTATATACCCTCCCATATCCTAAAACTAAAAATAAATAACCAAAAGACATTTTTAACAGGTAACATGAAGAATTTGCTTCATTTAGAATTAGTTTCTCTTTAAATAGCTGCACTGTTGTTAATTTTCGTGCTTTAGCTCTCTTTAGAGCCCTCCCTGCTGGGTTTAATTTTCTCTGATGTGATCTCCTTCCTTTGAAGGTGCTCTACTTACAGACTTTCTTTCCCCAAGGTGTAGGATTTGTATTTGTAATGACAACTAGCATGGGGCTCTTTTAAACCAAATTCACATGCACCATGATGTGTGGAACCAACAGTGCCAATGTGTTCTTTCCATAAACAAATAATAATGAGCCTCTAAGTAGGACGTATTTGTGTGAAATTCAGAGATGGCAGGAACTTTTCTGCTATCCTAAAGCCTTACAAAAATAGGACCATAATAATTCAGACAGGTCAGTAATGCTTTCTTACTGAAAGCATTTTCCTTTGCTACACTAGTAAACAAACAATGTTAAATTGTATATATTTACATGTAGGACTAAAAAAAGAATTTGGGCTGAGGCTATAGCTCAATGGTAGAGCTCTTGCCTGGCATAGTCATAGGTTTAATTAATTCTCAGGATTAAAAATAAATAGGTTTTGCAGAATTTCAAGTTTTACAATTTTTTTCCTTATAACTACAAAAAGATAAATATTAATATATAGCTATAAAGTGTAAGTAAATATCACTGTTACCTGGTAAAAACTCAAATTTCATTTTTTAATAATACTGAGTCAAACCACCCAATATGGTGATGAATGAAATTTCTCGGTTTTAGTGAATAAATTTAAAAAGATAAAATGAAAGTAATTCACTATATTTTAGCTGATTTGCCTAAAAGAGTTTTGCCTTTTCAAGTTGGCAATTTGCATCCAAAAATCTTTTTAAAATTGTGGTTAGAAATATGTCTAGTTACATAGAAAAATATTCACAATATGCTGCTGGGAGAAAAAAGAGAAACTCATATAGCATGATCTCAGTTTTAAAGTCAGCGATGAAATAAGTTCCAGTGGTGAGGGATGGAGAACTGCAGCTCACAGTGAGCAAGGAACTGACTTGTTGACAACTGCACATGTGAATGTGGGAACAGGTTCTCAGTCCCAGCTAAGTACTGAGATGGCTCTAGCTTGATTCATAGCCTAACAGCAACCTCTGGAGAACTGGGCTCCAAAAGTAGACTTCCTGGATTCATGTCCTAGTGAAAACATTTGTCAGCTCTCTAACCTTTGAGAAGGTACTTTGCCTCTGTTTCCCTTTATTATCTCTGAAATTAAAGTGATAAGAAGAATACAATCATAGAGTTCCTGTGAATAACTTAATTCATGTGAAGCACTTAGATCAGCTTGCATTTGGGAAAAAAAATAAATGCTCAGGGCCAGGGATTTAGATCAGTGGTTCTGCCATCTGCCTAGTAAGTGCAGGGTCCTGAGTTCAATCCCCAGTACCAAAAAAAAAGTTCAATAACTATTAGCTTATACACGTGTGTCTTTACAGGGTTGTATTAGTTACCTACTACTGCATAATATTTTTTCCCAAATGTAGAAGCTTTAACAATGAACATTTATTTTCTCATATTCTCAAGGATCTAGAAGGGTGGATCTGACTCGGGCTGAGGAGGGAGGTTGTACCCAAGATGTTTGATGAGCTCATCACAAGGCCCGAGGAGAGGAAATCCCTTTTTAAACTCATGCTTGTGAAGTCAGCTGTTCCAAGTTCCCTGATGGTTGTTGGCAAAGCCTCCTGCCTCGCCACTGGGCTACTCCACAGGTGGGCTGAGTGTCCTAAACTGCATGGCAGGTGGCTTTCCCCATAGCTGCTAAGAAGTGTGAACAGGCCTAAGCAGATGAGCAGGAGAGTGCCTAACACAGAAGCTTTGAGCTTCCGTAACTGCATCTCAGAAGTAGCACACCCTCACTGTGAATATGACACATGGGGCAACTCTGGTACAGGACGGGGGAGAGCTGCATAGCGGGTGAACACCA